TGGAGGCGCGGCGGCCCCGCAGTCACCTGCTTGGCCCCCCGGGTGAACTCCTCGATGCTGAACTCCTGGTCGAAGAAGGCCCGGATGAAGAAGCAGTGGAGCCTGGTGCGGACCCAGATGAAGGGGTTGGGGATCACCACCACCACCACGCTCCGGCCGCCGCCCGGCCCCGGCGGACCCCCCCGCTGGCTGTGCTCGTCGCTGGCGCAGAAGCGCGCGGGGGGCCGGGCGCCGGACAGGGCAACCGGGCCCCGCGGCTTCAGCCCGGCCCAGCCGGGTCTGGCCGTCGGCGCCAGAAGGCGCGTGGAGAAGGCGCGGACCGGCCCAGGGCAGCGCCAGAGCCCGCTGGGCAGCGCCATCTTAGCGAGCCGCCCCGCCCCGCCTGGTGCGCGCGGAAAGGGGCCTGCCCGGGAAACGGGCCCAGAGCGGGCCGGGCAGCCCCGCGTGCCCCGGCCCGCCGCAAGGACCGTTCCCTGGCGGCAGGCAGGCCCCGAGCGCGCCTGGGTGGCGAGGCCCCTCGGGGGATCGGGTCCCAGCGCGGGGGCAAACGGAGCAACCCGTGGAGCCCCGGCGGCCGGAGCAGCGGGGCGGGCGAGCCTTGTTTCCCGGGGGAGCGTGTGAGTGAGGCGTAGCCGGCCGGGGTGGGCGGCGGCCATGGCGCAGCCGGTGGGCCCAGTGGCCCGGCACAGCGGGGTCGGCAGGGAGCGCTTTCGGCAGGACATTTACCCGCTGGTGAGGCCCGGGGGGGGGGAGACCCTGCCTCGCCCGCGCCCCGGGGTGCCGGAGACCCCTGCTCGGTGTGGGCGCTGCACCCGGCCTGCGGCAGCGGCCTGACTTCCCGCTCCGCGCTGGAGATTGCGGGGCTGCAGCTGCCCAGGTGCTGGGTGCAGCTCCCGGCCACAGGCCGCGTGTCTGGGTCCCCTCAGATCCGGGGCGGTGGTTGCACCTTCTCCCGGCAGTAGGGTGACCAGATGTCCCGATTTTATAGGGACAGTCCCAATTTTGGGTCTTTTTCTTATATAGGCTCCTATTACCCCCCACCCCCTGTCCCGATTTTTCACACTTGCTGTCTGGTCACCCTACCCGGCAGCTCGCCTCTCCCGTCCCGTCATGTCACACAGTTCAGTGCCTCGCGTCTCAGACACCGGCCCCTGCTGCTGTTCTCGGCATCCCCTGCAGTTTATCCACTTGTAAAACCGATCCTGTGCTGCCCCCGACACCCTCCCAAGAGCGAGAGAGACCAGACAGACACTCAGCTCCCTTCAACTTTGTCCAGAATGAGCGTGAGAGATTTAGCTGGTCTGTGGAAATCCAAGTATAGCCAGAGGTTGGAATCCTTTACCCTTCCTCCTCTTCCTGTCCCCTTTACAGCAGCTGTCTGGCTCTTTTGACACAATAAATTATTTTTGATCCAAAATTTTTGGAACTTGAAGCCCAAACTTTGACACCCTTTGATTCTGGGTTTCTTGTTTTAACACAGTCGGACCCCAGAGAAAGAAAACAAGAAATATAACAAAAATCTAAAAATAACCGATTTTTTTAACAACTGAAAGGAAGAGTGTACAAGCTGCCTTTCTAAATGATTCTTCAAAAATAATGTAAACCAGAATGTCACTTTTATGTAATACCTATTTTTATAATTAAACAAAATAATGAAGAGACTGTGAAGTGTGTTGCTTGTGTGGTATGTCAGTTTCTAAAAAGGGTTCTGATATTTTACAAATTCACTTACCTAATGGTATCCATTTGACAAAAAAAATGGCTTGTGTTTCTAAACAGAGATGTGGTGAGAATAGATGGGGAAAGAAGGAGGAGCTGCAGCATAATTAGAAAAAAGGGACATGCTAAGCATTTTTGTTGGTATTATTTAACAGTGATGTATGTGGTATTCATATGAAATGTTTTCCTGGTAGTGGGATAAGTGAAAAATACTGGTGAGGGACAGATTCCGTTATATGAAGTTGCTGGCATAGATCTTGAGGAACTGGAACAACAGTACATTGCCTGGCTTGGCACAAGAAGATTGGGGTGTCTCCCTCACTAGGCTGAAAGAGGCTAAAGCACTGATCCTACATTGAGCTCCATGCAAACAGACCCTGTACAAAGCTCTGTTGTCTTCTTTGGATGCTCAGTTGGGGCACAAGGCTTTGTGCACATAGAGCTCAGTGCAGGATCAGGACCCAAGCTGGAGTATGGTATGGATTAATGTCTTCTTTTAACCTATCCTCGCAACAAGCCCAGTTTGCTTAAATGGTTGCATGGCTGTCATCCTGAAAGTACACTGCTCACTTTTCTGCCAGCTGGAATATGATGCAATGATGAGCTCAGTCCTGGATGTCTTGTGTGTCAAAACTCCTACTGAAACAAGTGGGATTCTAATTAGTTAAAATTGGGGTATAGTTTGTGTTTGTTTCTTCTTTGTATGTTTTTGTTTGTTGTTATAGCTACTGATGCAAGCCTGTCTATTACTCCCTTGGAGTTTGGCTTGAAAATAAAAGGGGATAATTAACCTCATGTGTTCCTCCATCAAGCATATTACATTAAAACCAGAAACTCATGAGGGCTATGAGCCAGCTCCACTCTGCTTGATCTAAAAAGTTATTACAGAACTGAGTTTGTAAAGACTGCATATATAAAGTAAATGAACTTCTCCAAACCCACTATTTATAAACCGATTCAGCAAATGAGAGGAAACAGTTTGGGACAGTTCTGTACTAATCTGGTGGTTTTGGTTCCTTAGGACTTTAATTTCACCAGTCTGGTCTTTTGTGTCTTTGCAGAGAGGCTCAGTGGAGTGAGCATTGGGCTGGGAGCAAGAAATTGCTGGCTTCTAATTTTATTCTGTCCCTGACATCCTATGTGTCTCAGACCCCTAACCTCTCCCTCGTTCAGTTTCCCTGACAGTAAAAGGTGATGATAACACCTATCTCATAGGATTAGTTAACGATTAGTTAAAGTTTGGGCAGTGCTTTGAAAATATAAAATGTTGTGTGAGTGTGAAGTGTTCTTGTAATTGTCACTGACCCCTTGCTCTCTATGGTCCTGGACCAAAACCAACTGAAGTAAACAAGTCTTTCCATTGATTTTAATGGAGATTGGATCGTTGTTTACACTCTGCCAGCACAAAGAGGATTTAGCATGAGTGGAAACATCCCCTTGCATAGAGGGCATCCCTAGTCAGTGTTAGAACTGGTGTAATATTGCCCCAGCTCCCAATATCTGAGTCAAGGGGGTGGACTAGGGGCATGGCCTAAGTGTGCTTCCCTACAGCTGTGCTCTACTAAGCCTTTTGAAGAAGAGCTGAAGTTATATCAGGGCCTTGCCAAATCCTTCCATGGCCCCAGAATATGGTGAAGGCCAGTGTTGGTTAAAGAACCTTTTCTCTCACTCCATTCCTGCCACAAGCAAAGGAGTATAATAACAGAATCAGGACCATGATTTCCTGGATTTTGTTTACACACTTAGTGCACAAACTCATGGAGCCTTCTGGCTAATGTGCAACAGGTGTACATATTCAATTGATTTGTTCTTGTACTGTACTTGACAAATTAGTCCTGAATTTTTTTGTTGGATTCTATCACCAATTCAGTGACAACATGCCATGCCATGCCATAAACCTGCTTTTGTTTTCTTTTCAGAGAAAGCCAGCAGTGCTGAAAGGAATAGACTTGGGCACTTGCACAACCAAGTGGACAGTGGATTACCTCAGCCAAACAGCAGGAACTAAAGAAGTAAAGATTCATGTTTCCACAGTGCCACAGATGGACTTCCTCAGTAAGAACTTTGTATATAGGTACTTTATTCCAAGGCTTCCTCTATTTTAAAGGGACATACTAGTAACTTTTAGAAACATTCTACATTGCTTTGAAGTTTTATACAAAGTATACTCTTCTATGTTGCCTGGATCTGTTGGTGTTACCATTCAGCAAGTTGGTGCTCTCCTGCTTTTTGTAAACTTATTAATGGTAATTACTGTCTCTATTGCTATTTACTGCATTAACTAATATGTTATAGAGCTTCTGTTTCTAAAGAAATGCTTTTGAATTCAGGTGCCATTGTCTGAAAGGTATTTTTTTTTTAATTTAAAAAGGTAAAGATATTTCAGTACCAGAAGAAATATTTCATCACGGTTTTGTCCTTCAGCTATGGCTTTGGAATTCATGGGTGCGTCATTATTTTCTCTCTCTCTTCTTTTTTTTTTGGCCCAGTCCCAGATAGCAATTTTTTAACATGCCTTTATTGTTCATGAAAGATGTCAGAATGATCAGGCCTTAAAAACTTGAGCCTGTATTCACAAATGATGTACAGTATAAGCTGTGGTAAATCAAATTTCCCCACATTCTCCTGTCAATACACCCCACTCCTAACAGCAGAGAGGAGTTTTAAAAGAGTATTTGGGGGAACACAATGAGGTGGTTCTGCAGATACTTGTAGGGAGCGCCTCCCATGCATAAGGGGCAGCATGGGAAGAACTGCAAAGATGTTTGTTCGGAAAAATTTAAAAGTGGGCGATGAAGACTGGTCATTTGTAGAATGAATGTAGGAGTCAATGTCTCGATACTGTATAAGAGTTAATAAGTTGCACAGGGATAGACTGTGAAGGGCCTAAAAATGAAGATAATTGGTCTGTTTTTGAAGTAGTGAAGATGAAGGAGTTAATGGAAGAATCCAAAGAGAGGGGTTTGAGAGAAACTCTCAGTTTGTGACTTGCAGTCTGCTGCAACAAGAAGTTTGAAACTAGGCATGTCATTCGGATTCTCTGATACCTTTTCAGTATTGATGATTATATTGTTAGACGCTAGCACTGCTCAGTACCTGAACTGCTTTGAATGCTGTTATGTTACAGATATGTTAGTTCAACAGACTTAGGCTGGACGGATGTCAGCAATTAAAAAACAAACAACTTCAAAGTTTAGGGCATGTGCAGTTTCCAGTGTCCTCAAACTATGGAATATCACACATTTCACCAGCCCTTTAGTCTGGAGACAGGTCACATAGAATGTCTAATGTCCTGAGAAGCTCCTCATTAGAGTTGTCCATGTCATGTAGTTTGCTTAAACATTCTTCAGAGTCTAATGCATCTCAGCCATTTTGTTGTTGTTCTACAATTGTAAAGTCTTCATTTCAATTGTCATTTGCTTTTCCCAAGTGTGAACAAGATGTGTTCAATCATTTATTATTTTAATAAAGTTTAAGAAAGCAGACATATGTGATGGAATCAAAAGTTCTACAGTCTGTAATGAGTGAACCCTGGTGTCACATTCAGTACACTCTTTATTCACAGCCGGTTGAACCGTTGAACATTTTTAAACTATTTTTTGAACTGCAAATAAAATTGTCATACATCTTTGCCTCATATATATATTGTTTAGTGTTTATCTCATTGTCTGGGGAAAAAATGAAATACAAATAGGCATATAAAAGGGAGGTGCAATTTAGTATCCTTGCATTTTCCTTCTAAGGGTCTGATCCTGCAGGCCCTAATGCACTTTCCTAATATTATGCATGTAAGTAGTTCTATTTAATTCAGTGGTGATATTTCACATGCATAAATTTGCTCAGGTGTGTTAGGGTTTGCAGATTAGGGGCTAAATTTGCATTTTTGTATATGGCATTATGGAGATGCTCTCTAAATATCTGATCTTTAGAGTTACTAAGTATTTGTGACTTTCACCAGTTCTAGAGGACTTGGGGAATTCAGAACCTCTATGAATCAGGCTATGTATTCATATCTGTGGGGAAAATAAATACAATTACTGCAAGAATAAAAACGCTCTAGTACAAAGACATCATTATGGCCAGCTAAGGACCTGATCCAGACATATGCTGAGCACAAGCAACTCATATTGCTTTCAGTGGGAGATGTAGTTGTTCAGGCTCTGGGGGTCTGATCCACTTCCATTAGTGTCGGTGGGATTCTCTCCATTGACTCCAGAAGCTGCTGGATCAAGCTTTTCATGAACATGAACATAGAAATTGTATATTGTCAGGGAAATGGTCCGTCTAGTCCTATATTTGACAATGGCTACTACCAGATATTTCAGATGAGATGTAAACCCCCTGTAATGGATAACTTTGCCTATGGGGAAACTTTCTTCCTAACACTGGGCATTTAATTGTTCGTATGTTTTGTGAAGCTTGAAATAAATTGCTATATACAGCATGGATATTAGCCAGTACCAGCTAGGTGATTTGAATGATCTTTACAGCTTGGGGGAAAAAAATCTTTCCTCATGAATGAGAAATTCAGGATATTTAACAATAGTTAGACTGACTCCTGAGAAGTGTGCATCATATTTTTCATCATCTACTTTGAATCTTATCGTAAATAATCTGTTTGTATTCGGTTCTAGTTAATTTTTTTTGTATATATGTTTGTTTGTTATTTTTTTACCCCTACCCTCTTGCTGTTTAAAAAATCAAAATTTAAATTGTAGTGGGGTGGAAATCAAACGAGCTGGTGCTGATAGATGCTATAAACATTAGTAACCACCATAAAATAATCCATTTGGTACTTGTGACGTTGCACTCCATAGGCTTTATGGAAATATGCTTATGAATATGACATAACTGGAATATGCTTTATGCTAAATACCCCAGGTATGGTGTCATTAGAAAGCTTGTAATCTATTAAGTGTGTTCATCCTATTTGTTTGCATGTATTATTTCTATATCTGGAGTTAGGAGAATAAGATATAAACTTGTATCACTGGTGTAAACATATTAAGTGGAGCCATTAAGGGTGCTCCAGAAACAATCAGTTGTAAATGGCCTTAGTTACTTGAAAGCCTTCCTGTGTATATGTGGGCCAGCCCATGGGGAATGGAGACTAGGGGTCTTACAGTGACATGTGACCATGTCACCTGATAATGAAATCCATCTTAAATCTGGTACTTTTCCATTTAGAAGGAGGGGTGGGGACCTAGAGAGACAAAAGATTCCCGCCTTGTGCCAAAGCTATAAAAGGGGGTGGAGTAGGACAAAAGGGGCTGCCAGTCATGAGAGAGCCCCTGCTTACCATCTGAGATGTCTGCTGGAACTAACAAGAACTGTACCAGGGGAAAGGATTGGGCCTAGACTAGGAAGGCATCTAGTCTGTGAAAGAAACTTATCGGAACATCTCTGAGGATGAGATATTACCTGTAATCAGTTTCTTAATGTATTAGGCTTAGACTTGTATGTTTTTGCTTTATTTTGCTTGGTGACTTACTTTGTTCTGTCTGTTATTACTTGAAACCTCTTAAATCCTATTTTTTATAATTAATAAAATCACTTCTGTTTATTAATGAACCCAGAGTAAGTGATTAATACCTGGGGGAGCAAACTGCTGTGCATATCTCTCTATTGGTGTTATAGAGGGTGGACAATTTATGAGTTTACCCTGTATAAGCTTTATACAGAGTAAAACGGATTTATTTGGGGTTTGGATCCTATTGGGAACTGGGTGTCTGGGTGCTGGAGAAGTAACCTGCTGAGCTGTTTTTGGTTAAAGTCTTCAGCTTTGTGGTCGTGGACCAGACCTGGGTCTGTGTTGCAGCAGACTAGCATGTCTGGCTCAACAAGGCAGGGTTCTGGAGTCCCAAGCTGGCAGGGAAAATGGGCTTAGAAGTAATTTCAGCACATCTGGTGACAGTCCCAAGGGGGGTGTCTGTGACCGAACCCGTCACAGTACTACATGCAATTGTTTTGCTCCAGTATCAAGCAGGGCCAAATGCTACAATATCAGTTCAGGCAAAGGTCTATTGAAGACTAGATCTAAGAGACCTTTACTGTTTTATGCTTGTATTGACTCTGTACCAGGAGCAAACTTACCAAATATGTATCTGTAGAAAGTATTATTTATTGCAGTATCTGCTAAAGTTGTTAAAGAATTGACATTTTAGGAGGACCTCCTCACTCTGTGAAACTGACAGTTATCTAGGGCTTGATTCTGCTCCCATTGACTTCAGTAGGTCTGGGCTTGGAACGTAGGCCCAGACCTTCAAAGGTACTTAGCCACCTAACTCCCATTATTTCAGTGGAAGTTAAGCTCTTAAATACCTTTGAGGATTTGGGCCCTAGTGATTTCTTTTTAATAGGAACTAACTTGAAGCTGTCCTCCCAGCTGAAAAGCTAAAGTTCTTTTTCCTGTAGAATCATTGAAAGAAGCAACTTTAGGAGAATTGATTTAAAATACAGGAAGGTTGGGACTACTGTAAACATAGGTTTCACCTGAGCCAGCATATATAAAACACAAACCCATTTATTCAAAAAAGTCAGCACAAACTATGACCCAGATTTTCAGAAATGCTCATCACCTATAACTGGGATCATATTTGCAATAGAGCTCAGTTTAGGCATCTAAATTAAATGCCATATTTTCAAAAGAACTTGGCACCCAGCTGCTCCCATTGAGCACAAGAGTTTGAGCACAAAATTTTTGGATAGTGAGCACTCTTGAAAATCTGATCCCAAATAATTATCTTTTTACAAGCTGACTTACAGCCAAAACTATTTGGATCTAGTATAGGAACAATCTGGATAATAATGAAAGATTTTTAAATATGATTTTTATCTTGGCAGTTATTTGACATCCTGTTGCAAACAATTGTTACTCTATATGATGATTTTTTAAAACAAATTAAATCGTCTGTCTGGCCAGAGACATGAATTTGATCTGGTACTAAGTATTGTGTGTCCAGTAGTTAAATAATTCATTGTTACACTGATTAGCATTATGAATTTTTATATTTATATTTCAGAACATTGCCCTTTGATGTGTTTGTACGGAGAGCAGCTGAAGTCAAACATAACGAGTACTTTATATCTGAGGTAATTTCCTTAAAGTGTCACATCTTCTTTCATTAGTTATTTATTGAGATTCGGTTTAAAAAAAATTATTATTTTTTAGCATAGCACTTAACCTTAAAGTTAAGCATGCTTTGCTGGATTGGAGCTCAAGAGTTAATCATTCCTCATGTATACTGTATAACTGACTACAGTGGGCTTGCTTGTGTGGCCAAGGACTACTTTATATGAGTAAAGGTTTCAAGATAAGGGACTAAGAAAACATATTATGTTTAAAATAGCAACTATATTTGTTAGATATTTTAAAAGAAGTAAATACTCAAGTGTTTAGTTAAGCTATAGCAACTATCAGAGGTACAAATATAAAATACAGAAATGTTACAACATGCTCATTAAGTAATTAATTAGTAGATATCTTAACATAACTATGTCCAAAAATATTGAATGGTTTGTGTGTTAATAGGAATTCACCCTCCCCCAAATAAATCTAGTTATACAATGTTTACATAGGAGTAGGAGCTAGGCTGCTCCAAATGATTTTTCAAATATTCCTTCCATCATTTATTTGTAACATGCAGTATGTTCTGAAATACATTGTTGTGATTTCCTGTGTCAGTGTTCTGAAGGGTTTAATTTCTACATATGCTCTATTACTGGATAGACTCAAAGCACTGTTGAAGTGGCTGACAATTTGTGATCTAAGTCTCCATATGGAGCAACATGTGTTTTATACCCTTAGATCTTTCCCTGCCCCCTTGAATTTGCCTGTTTCATTTAATTAGCATATTTTCACTTTCTTCCATTTCTTCAGGTAGCCAGCAGGGAGCAATAGAAGAAAGGGCAGGATAGCAGAATAGCTGAATTTGTAAATGGGATTTAGTTGTACCAAATTTTAATGAGGCTCTTCATTAAACTAATGAGATGGTCAAAGCTCTGTATGTTCTAATTCTTTGTTCTTGCGTGCTAATGATCATTCTCTTTTGTGTTTGTGTTAAGGATGAGAAATACTACTTGCGATCACTGGGTGAAGACCCACGAAAGGTGAGTAACTTGGGACTGCAAGGCATGTGTTTCAGAGCAGCAGTTTAAAATCTTTAAGGATAGTATTCTGATCTTTTGCCTTTACACAAACACACCACCTTTTTGTCTTGTAAATTAATTTAGGCCAAAAATTTTAAACATGAATGCTTAAAGTTAGGCACTTAAATCCAAGCTTAGCTGGTCACCGAAGGACCAAGCCTCCATAAGAGGCTTTCTGGATGCCATACAGCTGCCATTATGATTCCTATGCCTCACCTCCCATCCCTCAGCTGTTGGTATAAAGAGATTGATCAGGAGAACAGTAGCATAACTGGGGTGTCCTGATGATCCCTGGCTGCAGTAGCATCCCCTCAGAACTGTTGTCAGATAGCTTATATCAGAGCAGCCCTCAGGGTGTCCTAACTTATACTGGAGAAAAGGACCAGCACCCAGATGACTGAAGATTGTGTGCAAAAGGCCCCGTTGTGTCCAAACCCCCAGCAATGCCAAGTGCTCCTTGGCCACAGCTGAGGACCTAGCCTGTATGATTTAACACAGTCATGAGCTAATCCCCTGCTTTCACTTCAAATATATGATTTTATCTGGAACATTGAACTATATCCCTTTTGATTCAGGATATTGCAGATATCAGAAAGCAGTTTCCTTCATTAGCAGAAGATATTCAGATCCCAGAATATTTTGAAAAGGAACAGTTCTTCTCCAGTGTCTTCCGCATCAGCTCAGCAGGACTGCAACTCTGGACACACTATGATGTAGGCAAACAATCTTTGTGCCTTTGTTGGCGAAATGTGGTGTGGATCTCATTACAGGATTGGGGCACTAGGATACAAGCCCTACAGGGGGCAGGGACCTGCTTGCGGTTAGAGTGATACTTGCATACTTTTGGGTACTAGGTAAATAATAACTGACTTTAGGTATTGTATATTTTAAGGATAGCTGCTATTCTAAGCACATTTTGGTTCTCAGTTTATTTCCCAGTCCTGAAACCTTTGCCTCATATGAGTAAAAATTGCAAGACTGGGTTTTACTCATTGTTTTAAATAGCAGCCAAGAATCAAAAAACAACCTCTCAACATTGCTGGCTTCAGTGGAGGTGAAGCTATGCAGCGCCTTCCAGAATTACCTTATTTTGCTACTCTGCAAGACCCTTTCCTTGCTAATCTATATGGTGGGTTTTCATGCTCTTTTGCTGTAGTTGATACCACATATATTTGTCTAGTAAGAGCCTACAATGTGATACCAGACAGGGTTAGATACAGGAATATTATGTTGTGTAGTTGAGCTAGTGCAAAACCCATTGCTGTTTATTAGTGGCCGGTCAGCAAAATGAGGTAAGAAGGCTGTTTGAAAGATGGTAAAAGCACTTCTAAATATATTCTGCCTTATGTTTTGCTTTGCTAGATAGTCAAGGCAGATAATTGCTTTGAATTTTGAACAAATCTTGTAAGTTATAGTTGAAAGAAAGAAAGAGAAAAAAAAGACAAGTAAAAGAGTTATTAAAAAGAAATATGGAGAGGCATTTTTTTCCATTTATAATTAACGTGCCAAAAATGTAAGATGAAGAGTGAAAATATGTGTCATATGATTCAGATTTTCAGGGTAATTTGATATAGATTAGCATTTTTTTTTTTTTTTTTTTTTAAAAACACACACACACAAAGCTTTTAATATTGTCTGTTTTCAGGGCATATTTTATATAACAGAATGATTATATGGAATATATATTTGCCCATTCTTCTCTTGTATAACATCTATCTGCTATTTATGCTTATAGTATACTGTTATATTTTCAGATAATGGATAACTTCTTAATCCAGATAACAGGGAAAAAAAGAGTTATACTGTACAATCCTCGAGATGCACCATATTTGTATTTAGCAGGTATGTTCTTGTCATACACATTTAATTGAGTTTGGTGTTCTCAGTTCAGTTTCCAGTAGGCAAGTGTCCCATTATATATAAAAACCTTTGCCGTAATTGGCAACTCTGTTAGAAATCCCAGCAGAGAGGCGACATTGACTAATCTAGTCTCTCATTTCTAACAGTAATCACTCCAAGTTAGTGTTGAGGAACACTGGTGGGGTAATGTAGGGGAACTTGCACTCCTGCTGCCCATGCTCAAATTGTTCTGTGGATTAATAAAGCATTCTGATTCTTAACTGCATAGGAATAGAGGGCTGTAACTAGTTTCTAACAGAGTTCTTCTACTGTCTCAGTGAAACTTGGCTTTATTATTTTGTTGAAACTTCTTTAGGCACTAAATCACAGGTCCTAAATGTGGATAACCCAGACCTGGAGAAATATCCCCTTTTTATGAAAGCCAGGCGCTATGAATGTTCTCTTGAAGCAGGCGATGTGTTGTTCATTCCAGGTAAGTGACAAATCGCTCCGGCCCACAGTATTTTTAATAATTTTATTTTGTGAATCCTCATTTCCATATGTGAATTACATATTTGTAACTCTCCATGCAATTCTAGATGTGTGACACTTTGCATATGACCAAAATTATACTCTTATTTGACTCAATGTGCATATATTTTAATAGCCTTACTCTATTAAAATCAATTTGTCCCTTCCCTGACCTGGCTTCTTTAGATTCAGGGAATGGGCACTTCATTCTTCTGTAGCTCTAACGTTTTCTCACTGCAGAAGTAAGAGGCAAATGACAATGTCCATTAGGGATGGAACAGTTAAGTCCTTACATTTTTTAATTACAAATTGTCAGTTTTGAAAATAAAGTCAGAATATTTTCTGTTCTAAGCTGCTTCTAACTTTCTGCAACAGTAGCAAATACAAAACTGCTTGCTGTGCAAGGTGAGACAGCACCGGGGATCAGGAGCAGGCAGCTGAATTATTCCTGCTGGCCTAACCTCATCAGCAATTTGCAGGATCAGAACCTGAGACTTACTGAAGTATTTAAGAGGGAAGCAATGTAAAGGGCAATTCAAGTCTCTAGATAAACCTTGATAAAATTTGCTGTAAAACATCTTCCTATTCGGAATAAGCAGGCTAATATTAACAGTGTTTGTGACTAACCCTGGAATATTAAATTGGAGACAGGATAACATCATAATGAAGACAAAAGCAATCTATTAACTTGGTATTAATTTTTTATTCTCAGCTATGAACCTGAGAACATGTCAATATCTTAATTGTGGTTAGGGGACTAAGGGGGGTAGGATAGCGGTCTATAAAATCATGAGTGGTGTGAAGGTGAACAGGAAAGTGTTATTTACCACGTCACATAACACAAGAACCAGAGGTTTCTCAATGAAAGTAATAGGCAACAGGTTTAAAACAAAAAAGGAAGTACGTTTTCCCACAACACAGTCAACCTGTGGAAGTTGTTGCCAGGGGATGTTGCAAAGGCCAAAAGTATAACTGGGTTCACAAAAGAATTAGATAAATTCATATAGGATAAGTCCATCAGTGGCTATTAGCCAAGATGGCCAGGAACACAATCCCATGCTGTGGATGTCCCTAAACCTCTGACTGCCAGAAACTGGGAGTGGATGATGGATCACTTGATAATTGCCCTGTTCTGTTCATTCCCTCTGAAGCACTGGGCATTGGCTGGTGTCGGAAGACAGCAGGACCATTGATCTGACCCAGTACAACCATTCTTATGTTCTTATTAAGGAAAATGGGGATAGTTATAAAAGAAGACAATGTATATACACCAGGAACAAACTTGTCATTCAGCTTTTAGCTGGCCACTGGTGTGTTCATTGCTATGCAGTTTTTTTTTTTTTAAAAACACAGACTTTATATTCCATAGATTAGTGGAAGATATTTCACTTATTGGAAGGTGTTTCCTATTCCTCCTTTCTTTTAATATTTGTGTGGATTGTGATGTAGATTTTATGCAAAATCTGCTGGTTTAGTTTAGTATTCATCACTTTGGTTCTTACTATGCAGCATCACTCAGTGATGTAGGAATTACTTTGAGAAAATATTATATCTAAATTTTGAACAGAACTAAAGGAAGATAGCAGATTACTTTGCAGAGAGAACTGACTTCGTACAGTTAGCTGTAATGTTCCAGATTCTACAGACGTTTGCACACATTTTCTCTTGGATCTAGGTAGTGTAGATCTTCCTAGCTGACTTTTGTCAGCAAGTGTTTTCAATTTTGAATCAGATATGCTAAAGTATTATTGATCTTGAAAACTGATACTTATGTTATGTTATTGGATCTTTGTCTATATCAATGTATTATGCAGCATTTAAAAAAATATTTGCCTCTGCATTAGTTTGGCAGATACTGTAAAATGAGACTGATAATTAAAAACACTCAAGATAAATGTCACAGAAAAAAGAAGACTTTAAATGGCACCATTTTGTGTGACTGAAAAGGGTCTGTGTAGTGGTCTATAGCCGTCCCTCCCCATCAGTCTTGGAGAGAGCTCACTATGTTGTGCCTATAAGTGCAGAGTAACAAGCAGGCTAAGGGCCCTGAGAGTAGGAACTGGAGAGTTCCACCACTGGGTGAGCAGGGATCCCACTGAAACACTGACCTAGACTCTGGCAACACCACTGGACTAATGTCTGGTGTCCCTGGGCTACCTCCTATTACCCCTTCTGAGTATACCTCTGTCTCCTGGGGTTTCTCCATTTCCCAAGGGTACACGGCTAGCGGCAGTCCTGTTACTCCTCCAGGTACTGGTCAGTCAGCTGTCCTTGGCAACGGGCAAGAAACATCTGCTCCCTTCCCCAGCTCTTGCACAAGTGAACTGTAGGTCCCGCCTTTTAAACTTCCTATCCTGACCCCCTGCATCCAGTGGGGTGGGAGACGAGGGGGAGGAGTGTGGCATGGCATGGTGTGGCTGGTTCGGCTCCGCCCACCAGGGGTAGTAGTATAGTCCCTCCCTGTCAGTCTCGGAGGGAGGCCACACTCCCTCCCTACAGTCCTGAATTTCAGAAAATAGGATTGTTTGGTTTGATTCTGATCTCACATCAGTGTTACTGCACTGTCTTGAATGGAATTCTGATTTACATTGTTATAAATAGCTTAAAATCAAACTTTGTTTTAAAATGGTAGGTTTCAAATATAACTGTGTCCCAGAAAAACTGTAGCAGAAACAGACATGCTTCAAGAACAAAAGCGGAAGATTGAGTCAAGGAGGTGAATGATGCAGACCAAAAAAACTGATATGTTCAATTCACTAAATATAAAACAAGTAACAAAAACAATATTCCAAAATTGAAATGGGAGAACTAATGCAATGCTGTAGCTTTCAAGTTAAAACTGGCACATGATACATAAAATTACAAATACATAGCAGTCCAGGCAAAAGTATCTCCTTGCTTACTTGCCCTTTGCCATGATGATTCAAATGAAAAACCTTACTATTTGCTGGACCCAAAAAAGTTGGTGTAGATGAGAAGAAATCTGCAAGGCTGATACTGACTGATATTGGTAATCTAAACTGGCATGTTGAGAATCCATGCAAGTTAAGGTTCTAATTTTGCAAATGTGTATGCAATGAGTGAAGTTACTCATGTACGTAAGTGTTTGCAGGAGTGGGGCCCTTAAAGATTTAGGGCTTAATCCTGCACTCTTTACTTATGCAAGTATTCCAATTCAAGGTAATGGGATAAATGACATGAATAAGGGACAAAGAATTAAGTCTGTTGACCCTGATCCAGCAAACACTTACCCACTTGCTTACCTTTACATTGACTTCAGTGGGAATACTCATGCATAAAGTTCAGCATGCTTATAAATATCTTCAGGATCAGGAACTCACTGTTTGATATGCTGTAGCATATGATGTAGTGAGTCAGAAGTACCTAAACATAAGTGAATGTCAGTGATTATTTCTTATGTCAGTTACATTCAGTTTGAGATGGTTCAAACATCTTTGTTGTAAATGAAATCAAGTTTTAAATGGCAGTTTATCTTTTTAGACTTTTTTCTTCCTACAGCTTTATGGTTCCATAATGTAATTTCTGAAGAATTTGGAGTGGGAGTGAATGTCTTTTGGAAGCATCTTCCTTCTGAGTGCTACGATAAAACAGACACTTACGGAAACAAAGATCCTACAGCTGCTTCCAGAGCTGTGCAGATTTTGGACAGGGCTTTGAAAACACTGGAGGAACTGCCTGAGGAATATAGGGATTTTTATGCCCGGAGAATGGTTTTACGCATCCAAGAAAAAGCCTATAGCACTAACTATGAATAAACAGTCAACAAGTCAACCAAACTCCTCTGAAAGTAGGGAGAAGTACAGATATGGATACTGTACCTGAAGACACTTTGAGAAGACTTTAATAAAAACAATAGTGCTCATTGTTTGTGGATGAATACTTATTTCATAGCCAATAGATGTTGTTTTAATAGATCCCATTTCTACTAATCCACATGCAGTATAGTCTGCTTGATGCAGCTGTGGGTCTCATCTGTACAACAATAAGGGGTCAATTTAAAATTATATATACATACACACACACACACACGTCCAAGTTTGTGTTATTTAGAACAATCATTTTGTTTCCGGGGGTAGTTTACTTTCAAAGAACTATTTCAGAAAATAAATATTCCTGAATAAGACTTACAGCATTGGCAATTTAAATTCTGTTTTAGATTCTGGTGTCTTCTTCAGGGTGGCTATTGAAAAGAATGTTCCAGCCCAAATGGGTTATTCTCTAGAGTAGTGAAGACTGTTGATCTGTGGGACTCGCACAGCTATAGTAAAAGGCAAGTAACCAGCCAGGGTTAACTTGACTAGCTACCTCCCTTTCCTCTAATTATGGGGTGATGAGAAGCAGCTGTGCTCTTAGCAGGACCCAGTCAGGGACAGCAGGTGTGTTCCTGTGGTTCTCCTCAGCAGAGAAAAGAAGGGAAAGGAGGGAGAACGCCCTGGATGGCTTTTCTGGGCTGTGTGGGTATGTATTTTGCTTACATTCATTAATTTTTAGTTTGAGTAGGGTACAAGCTAAAGTGGCACCTGTAGATTTTTTGTTTTGTTTTAATTTCCCTGATTTGGAATTATTTGCAGACAGATTGAATCAACACAAGCCCAAGAAATGGGATTTGTTAGAACCTAAAATGGATGTGAAATCTGGGGCTCCCAGCTGTGCTGCAGCTCAGCTGAGAGCTGTATTAGACCTGAGTATTGAAAGTTCACAAGTGCTGTCTGTCAAACCTATACAATGCAGGGTCCCTAGAAAGTCAGGGGGGAGGTTAGTTCAATTCCCTTGATGTGGGGTGTGGAGTGAGAGAGAGAGGAGGGAGTGCTCAGGTGGCTATAATCAGCAATTCCTTTTACATGTTGAGGAACCAGTGGTCTCATAATCAATGTGTAAAATACTTGTGGACTGGGGCCTCATGATTTCTGAATACTTCAAGGGGAGCACTGTTTTCTACACCAACACTCAGTAAACGGGGCAGAAATAATGGCTGGAGAAACTCATGCAGATATTCTGATGCTTGAAGAGAGTCAAATAAACATCTCTGGCTGTCTTCATTTAAAAATATGCTCTCTCACAAGATAAGGCTTAGAACTTAACCTTGAGCAGTCTTTTACAGTGAAGTATTTCAATATTAGCTCACTTGGATCTCTGGGCTGGGTTCAGAGGAGGCATGCAGGGACTACTAAATGCATCTCCCTTAATCCCAGCTCAGACAGTAAAAGCTCAGTAAAGACACCATCACCTCAGAAAAGGTCCAAGTGAGCTGATTGCTCTTGGCATGGTTACTGCCCTTGTTCTGAAAGATCTTCCTCTTAATGCTTCTATAACTCAGTCCTCTGAGCAGCAGCCTGGGAGCAGCCACAGAGTATCCACCCAACTTCCCCTTGTGGGGACATCACAGAGCAGGACATCACATCACAGACACCCACAGGAAAGCAAAAACTACAGGCAAAGTTGATGCCAGGTTTTTTTTAAGTTTAGATTCATGCTGTAGCTTGAAGAAAAAGACCTGCCAACTTGCATAGTTTTATTATATAAGGAGCCCTATCTCCACAGCTGTTGCTATTGCACCAAACTGCAGCACTGCTGACAGCAGCCAGTTGTACAGTACTTGATAAATCAGGGTGAGGTTTTTATTCTACAGCTATGGGATTTGAGAGGAAGGCCCTGGTAATATTGTCATAAATATGGGATCAGTTGGGAGCACTTCAAGAACCCTCCACTAGTTGAGATGTATTGTGTGACTATATGAATAGAAGTAGCATCTGTCAAGTGGACTCCATTCCTGAGAGACAAGCCTGTTGCTTCCTGGTGGATGGAGCTATAATGTTGCTCTTGTTTTGTAAGATGAATGATAAGGGGACATCTGACAAATATGACATGCTGCCATTGTCCATTTAAATCTCTCTTTTACTACTTACAGCGTAAGATAAATGTAGCTGAGGTTTTGTCATTTATCTGCCATTTAGGTTGGTCTGATGCTTCCAACAGTGTTGAGAATTGTGACTTGTCAAAAGCTGTTAGCAGGACTAAAGAGGTATGTGCCACTAAGGCACAGAACAGGGGCTTCCTGCAGAAGCTGGGCCTTGCAACACTGGGCAGATTATTCATCTAAATCCATTTTTGTTGGCAGCTGTAACTTAGAGAAAATAACTTCCCACCATGTGTATGGGCACAATGCCATCCTAATGAATAGGCATGAATGTAACCAGCC